TACTGTACACGCCGATATCCTATAACGCATACACCCCCACCACTAAAAGCGTATAAAACAGAGAAACAAGCCATACGCACAGACAATAACAACAAATTGCACACAACAAAAATAGGTGACATGTTAACCATATCCGAACGACCGCACAGGATGAAATGGCAATGGCGCCGTAATTTGCAAACGCCGACATCCTATAACGCACACACCACCACCCTAGCATCGCGGCAAACCCCCACCCCCCCCCCCCCAACCACAACAAATTCAATTATGTTAGGTCTGATCCCAATGCTAATTTCAATTATATTATTTTCTTAATACTTTTGTCTCATCATATAGAACATGATGGTGTTTCAAGGAGCTAGCGATGGTAACTTTCCAGACAACAATATTGTTGTTGAATTTGTATTGGTTGGGTCGCTAATGGCTATAGAGCAGTACAGTTTTAATGAACAACACAAATTTATAAGTGCCTAGACTAGATCGAAATTCTTCCCTTCATTCTCCTTCAACATTCAGATAGTTGTGGATATCACAGCAAGCAGAAAGGTGAAGGCAGAGTCAGTGAATGTGAGAGAAAGTTCCTGGATGGAAATTATGAAGCAATGCTTCTACTGCTGCTTTTATCCTCACCAGACCCTGTGGCAGTACCAACCGCCTAGTGTTGTTAACCCCCGCGGTTTAAAAAAAAAAAAAAAAAAAAAAAAAAAAAAAAAAAAAAAAAACCAAACCAAAACCAACCCCTCCCCCGTCCCGGACGACATGCAACACCATTACACACCCCACATACACGAAACACATCAAAGCAACACCACAGCACAGACGCAATACCTGGAACGCCGCCAGAAGACGCCGCCCTCTGACGCTTAGACCGCCGGTTGGAAGACCCCGCCATGACGAACGTTATACCAGACGAGAAAATCGGACTGCCGTGTAACACTAGGAGAAGGAGAAGCAAATCGCAGCAGATAACCGGTTAGGGAGTTGCAAACTTAACAAAGAAGAACAGACACTTGGAATGGGAAGAGACGGCAAAGTTAGGCTCCAAATCATAACATCCGATTTCGACCATAATTAACACTGCACAAGCCCATAAAATCTGCTAATAAATTAATACAACCTAATAAAGACATCACCAAGAAGACATCAAAGCCACTACACATACACATAAACCAGTGCACGTGCTCCTAATGAAGAATACATCTCATCTGTCCAAAAAAACAAATAGACGTACAAGATCGAGCCTCACGACCTCACCTGCCAAAGGTAACCTCATCGGATCCAAAATCTATATATATATATATATATATATATATATATATATATATATATATATAAGGACAATTAGGTCAGAGTATAAGGACATTACCAAAACTGCAATTCGATAATTAAATTTCCTAATCCAAAATCTCAATTAACAAATTCTCAAATCTCAATTAGGCAATAGCATGTTCAGAGTATAAGGAATTAAAGACATTTCCAATTTGGCAATTTGGCAATTTGAAATCCTATAAACTATGTACCAGTACCCTAATAAATTGGGCAATTCGCAATTGACAATTCAGCATATCGCAGAGCGCAGCTTAACTGATTCTTCAATTATTCTTGATCACACAAATTTTCAAGTTCTAACTCCCTTAACAGGTAATTAAAATTACGTATTTTTCACAATTTTTGTTTATTGTCTTATTGACATGACTTAATAATTCTGAATTCAGAATAATATATTTAAGACACTACTGGAAATTATGAAATTTCCGACCACCTGAAAGTGATCTTAAATCAAGTTAATACCAAAAAGTGGTCAGAAATAGCAACAAAGGTTTTTCCGAATACCAAAAGTGGTCGGAACAAGACTTTCGATTTGATTTAAGATCACTTTTAGGTGGTCGGAAAATCCATGATTTCCACTAGTGAGATTTTGTTTATTGATTATTTATTTATTTATTTATAGAGTTTCTAAATAAATTCTTTTTTCTATAGGATTTTATAATTATGTCTTGTTGAAAATATTCATCTAGGTTTGATAAGCTTAAAAAGAAAAGAAGAATTGAGCAACTAACTCAATCTCAAAAGGGAGCTCTTGAAAAATTCATTATAAAACAAACTCAAATTGATGAGCAAAAAGATGATGCCAAGAAAAAATTATTAGATGCTAATCTTCATATAGAAGATCAAGATGATTGTGAGATTGAGAAAAATTTGAATGATAGTGTGCACAATGATGATAGGAATCACAGCGACAATGAAAATAATATGAATGATGATAGTTGTTTAGATGATGTTCGTCGCAAAGATAAACCAAGTGATTCGCTTTTATTTGACATATATGATCCAAGAAATTGGGATGCCCTTGATTCTAAATTAATAGATATTCTTGCGAAAGATGGTCCTAAAAGAGATTATACTTTTAGTACTTCTTGCTAATATTTTGTTCATTTTGTAGATGTTATTGGAAGGGTAATTGAGATTTACAATCCTGTGGACAAGATTATAGGGGGAAAGGCCACCAAACTAATCGACTTTCAAATTGAAGACAATGCGTAAGTTTTTTAAAATGAACTTTGATTACATTAGAAAATGATGCAGTCTTATTTTTTTTTTTAATACTTTTCTGTTTTTTTCTGTTTCTAATCCAGTGAGAACACCATGATGTGTACACTCTGGAATGAACATGTATCTTCCCTTCTGCCTTTTTACAATAGTGATTCGAAAAAACTACTGATTGTTGTCATTCAATGCTGTAGGGCTAAAGTTGTGGATGGTGAGTTTCTCTACTGTTTTCTCTACTGTTTTCTGTCATCTTCTATTTTCTAAAAACATAGTATCTATAAATAAGTGCATCTATTTGTATAATTTTTTTTAGGTGAAGTGAGAATAACCAGTTCGTATGATGCTACGAAGCTTTGGTTCAATGAGGATTTTGAAGAATTTCAAGAGTTTAAGTCAAAGTAAGTTTATGTTTTATATTTCTCCTATTTTTGTTATTTATCTTTATTAATGTAGGCTCTACTCTGGAATCCAGTACATTTATCTTTGTTATTTATTTTTGTTATTTATCTTTATTAATACAGAGTACACTATTTTTTTGTTTGTCAAAGTAAGTTTATGTTTTATATTTCTCGTATTTTATATTTCTCCTATTTTTGTTATTTATATATAGTTTGAATCCAGTACATAGATGTTATTTATCTTTTTTTAACATCTATGTACTGGATTCAAACAAAAAAAACAGTGTACTCTGTATATATATTGGAGTATCATGCTGTACAGTCTATGCATTTCTTTAACTTTAGTAAACTACCACTCAAAAAAAAAAAAAAAGATAGCTATTTTAATCCAGTACACAGTATTGTTGTTAGGTTGTTAAAATACATATGTAAAAAAGTTTCTAATGTTTTTGTAGGTTGAAAGCTGAGGGTACTCCAATGAGAAGTCTTAGTACTGGCACACTACATTCAAACTCTACAGGCATTAGTGAGTTTAATAATGCTTCTGTTATTGTAACTAACTGCCATGATATTAAGAAGGTTAAAGAGGTAATCCACACACTAAGCTAGCAACTCTTTCTTTTATTTGATGTAACTGATTTTGTTAAGTGCTATATATCCTTATAAAATTATTTGTATACTATAGGATGGGGAATACTATGTGGCTGCTGAGATTCTTGGTTTAGATTTTGAGGATGGTTGGTACTACTTATCATGCCTGAAACTTGGATGTAATAAGAAACTTAAAGAACAGGAAGGGTCACTTTTTTGTACTAAGTGTAAAAAGACTTGTATGATGGGTACAGTTAGGTATAAAATAGTTGTTATTGCTCTTGACAAATCTGGAGATGCTCCAATGTTGCTTTGGGATAGAGAAGTGGCAAAGCTTGTGGGTATTCCTGCCTCTATTTTGTATGCAAAATACAAGGAGGTAAATTATTATAATTGGCTCTCAACATTTTTTTCCTAAACTTTTTATATTCTATGTTTTTAATTATGTTATTTATCACCTACCTAAACAGCTTGATGTTGAAGTGCCACCTGAGTTGGATGCTATAGTTGGAATGAAGATGCTGTTTAAGATCAACTTCAAACTTGCTCAAAAGATGTGTCCCAATTACCCATTCAATGTTGTTAGGGTTGTAAGGGATGAGCACTTGCTTAAAACCTATGGTGACAGGTTTGTGGAGCATCAAGAGCAAGACTTAATCTCTAGGATGATTGAGGAGGAAACTAACACCGATGCAATTTCTGGAGTAAGAATTTGAAACCCTAAACTCTATGATTGGTTTTTATGATGGTTACTAATAGAGTTTTATGCTTTTCTTACTAACAGGAAGACTCGATTGGAGTTGAAGTGAATAGTCCTGCCACTGTCCAGCCCTCACAAAAGGAAGGAGAAGACAATGCTGAAAACTCTGGGGCTATTAAAAGGTCACTTTTGGATGAGTTTTCATCATCCAAAAGTAGGAAGAAGTTGAATGACTCAGAAATCAAAAAGAAAAAATTGTAATTGAGATTGATGGTTGAAAGTGATTGTTGTTAGCCTGATACTATCCAGACATATTTACTTTTCTTTTCCTAATACTGTGGTGTGACACTTATTAAATTTCAGTTTTTGGGATGTTTTATAACTTTTATCAAATGTTTTGAGTGATTGCCTAACTGTTTAGTACAATACATTGGTGTATCTACTGCTATTAGAACCTGTTTTGCAGTTTTTCTAATGTTCCTTTCAGGTTATTCAGAGTAAGGATGAGAGGTGTCCAAGTTTAGCAAGGATGCCAGGTGGCCAAGGCAGACAGGATGGAAATAGTTTGGCAACAAACTTAGACTTTGTAGTTGATTTTTTTATAGGTCCAATTACATGTTAAACTACTACTATAAAATAGTATATATGTAATTTACTAAGAATATTTAATCATGACACTTTTTTGTAAATAATATTCCAAATTTATTTTCAAATAATATTCCAATTCTAAGACTTTATATTTTTTTTGAAAGCCAACCAACTTATACTGCATTAGCCATTCCAGGCTCAAGAAATGAAGGGGGTAAATCCCTCCAGGTAGTTCGCGCCAAAGAGGCAGTTACATGCTTAGCCATGACATGGGCATCCTGTACTACACCCCTACGAACATGAATAACAACTGATCTAGTCATAGAAGACAACAAACGATTGCAAGCTAACAAAACATAACCAAAATAAGTACGAAATGAACTTGCATGTTTAAGACTAGAAACTAAGACAAGACTATCGGAGCACACTGAGATCCTCGAGTATCCATTCTCCCTTAGCCATGATAAAGCCTCACACATAGCCATTGCTTCCGCCAAGAGGGGGTCATATGGGCAATTCAGAGGGCCATTTCCTGCCGCCACAAAAGTTCCATCTATCTCATACACTACAAAACCGTAAGCCGGGACCTGTGTCGGACCATTAAAGCCTGCATCTACATGACAGACCACACCATCGTCTAGCATAGTTGCCGAACTGGAGGTAGCATGGGCTCTGCGCGTGATTCCCCGTTGCTGTTCCACAGTAGTCCAAGAAATCCACTTGACTGTAAACCTCTTGACCACCACACATGGCATTGGCAAACAACCATTCCAAACCGCCTCATTCCTGGCAGTCCAAATGTCATATAACAAGCCACAAATCCTCTCCCGTGCTTCAGCATTATAAGTACTCGTGCTGCCAAGCCAAAGATCAGTCCATTGGCTGAAATTCCTGTTGTCAAAAGTAGGTATTAACAGATGAGAGAAATTCCACACTTGTGATGCAAAAGAGCAAGTACATAAAGCATGCATGATATTCTCCTCCTCCAAACCACACGCTGGGCATATATTAATCAACTCTACTCTTCTATTAAGCAAATTATCAAGAGTGGGCAGAATGTTAGACAAAGCTCTCCACATAAATATTCTCCATCTTGGGGGGACCTGTAAACTCCACAAATTACTCCATGCAGGCAAACACGGGCCGTTGACCTCTCCCATCCTCCTGTATCCATCCTTTACCGAGTAGCAACCCCTCAGATCCCTGTCCCAAAACCAATCATCATCACAATTCAAACTCACAGGAAGCTGCTTAATCAACATAACATCTTGTGGGGCAAACAACTCATCCAGCAGGTCATTATTCCACCCATTCGTGGTACTATCAATCAAGACCGAAACCAGAAGCTCCTACCCCAGACCTGGATGGGTCGAGACTACATAGGGATCAACAGCATGGGGCAGCCACGGATGATTAATTACCCTAGTGGACCTTCTGTTACCAATCCTTCGCCTGCAACTAGTCTTTAGCAATGCCTGGCCTGCTAATATACTCCTCCACGCATAACTTGGGTTACCCCCAATTGTGGCTTCATAAAACGAGGATGTAGGATAGTACCTGGCCTTAAATACGCGTGCCACAAGGGACTCCGGACTGGTTAATAGCCCCCACCCCTGCTTGGCTAACAGAGCAATATTAAATTCATATAAACGTTTAAAACCCATACCTCCAAACTTCTTAGGGACGCACATTCGGTCCCAGGACATCCAGTGAATACTTCCCTGTGAACCACTCTGACCCCACCAGTACCTGTTCATCAATCTTTCAAGAGCAATACACAAAGTCGTAGGAAGTAAATAAATGCTCATTGTGTAGGTGGGCATTGCCTGCGCTACACTCTTCAAGAGCACCTCTTTCCCAGCCTTAGACAACAACTTCTTGTTCCATGAACTGAACCTCTGCCTCAATTTTTGCTCTACATAAGCAAATACTGCTCTCCTATTTCAGCTCACAACCGAAGGTAAACCAAGATATTTTCCAAAATCATCTGCTTGGCCCACCCCCAATGCATCTGCAATCAGGTCCCTTACTTCCACCTGCGTATTACGACTGAAAGTAATGCTTGATTTCTTAAAGTTTACCGCCTGCCCAGAATAAGCCTCATAAATCCCCAGACATTTCTTAACCTCCAGAGCTTCATGCATATTAGCCTTAAAAAAGAGTAAGCTATCATCTGCAAAAAACAGATGCGAAATTGATGGGGCCCCCCGTGCCACTCTGCACCCATGTAAAAGACCCTTAGCCTGAGAGTCCTGCAACAACAATGATAAGCCCTCAGCACATATTATAAACAGATAAGGAGACAATGGATCTCCTTGTCTCAACCCCCTCGTGGGCACTATCTCCTCTGTCGGCTTTCCATTGACCAACACCCTGTAACGTACTATCTGCACACACAACATAACCAGCTGGACCCATCTATCATCAAAACCCAAACCAGACATCATCCGTTGCACAAACGGCCACTCCATTCTGTCATATGCTTTCGCCATATCAAGTTTTAAGGCCGCCTACCCAACCTGCTCCAACTGCTTCCTCCTTAAATAATGGCCAACCTCAGACGCAATAAGTATATTGTCTGAGATCAACCTGCCTGGTAAAAAAGCACTTTGCGAAACAGAAATCAACCCCTCAAGTAATGGTTTCATGCGATTTGCTAACATCTTGGCCATTATCTTATATAACACATTACACAAAGCTATCGGCCTTAAATCAGATACAGACACAGGGGAGCATTTCTTTGGGATCAACACAATATTAGCATCATTCAAATTTGCAGGAAAAGACTTCTCAGACAAGCAATTAAGCACAAAGTCAGAAACATCATTACCTAAGACATCCCAGAAGGCCTGATAGAAGCCCGGATTCATGTCATCCGGGCCTGGAGATTTATCCTTGCCCATAGAAAATAGAGCACTTCGCACCTCATTTGGCTCGAAGGGATGCAGCAAATCATCATTCTGCTCTCTGGTCACACAAGACTGCAGGGTATCAACATTAAAAAACCCCGGATTCCCCCCGAGGTAAAAATTTGCTTATAATAGTCAGTGACTACTGCATCCAGGGCACTGCCCTCCCTCCAAACACCACCCCCATCCTTCAGTCTCTGGATCACGTTTTTCTTCTTCCGGTACGTGGCATACTTGTGAAAGAACTTAGTATTCTTGTCAGCCCCCTGAAGCCAGTGCTGCTTAGCACGCTGCCTCCAGTAAACCTCCTCCTGAGCTAGGACCACACTCAATTTCTCATCGAGCTGCATAAACCGTGCCAAAGAAGCTGGATCTCGACTGCCCCGTAAAGCATTCATCTCCTTTTTAATCCCTTCAGCCCGTTTCCCATACTTATGATGGCGATCACCACCCCACCTCCTCAAACCCCGGCCACACACGCCAAGCCTAGCCTGCAAAGCCAAACCCGGAGTATTAGACCATTCCCTTTCCACCACCTCCCTGCAACCACCATCCAGCAGCCATGCATTCTCAAACCGGAAACCCCGGGGCCTCACCACATGATTCACCCCTCTTATATCCAGAAACAAAGCAGAATGATCTGACGAGTCAGTCCGAATATTATAGACCCTCGCCCTATCATTAGCCTGTAACCAGTCCATATTTGCCACCACCCTATCCAGACACTCCTCTACCCAGCGAACAGTCCCCTTACCACGCTCCCACGTGTAAGGGTACCCAATCATATGCAGTGTCATCAAACCACAGTCATCCAGAGCCTCAGCAAACCCCTCAATCAAACCAACAGGATGCGGCCGCCTCCCCCTTTTCTCTGACTGCATCAACAAATCATTGAAATCCCCCGCGACCACCCACGGTAAGTCAGAAACCCCCTTGAGTGAACGAAGAAATCCCATACAGCCCTCCTCCTGTCCCTCTGGGGATACCCATAATAACAAGTCAACCTCCACAACGGCTTATCAGGCAACGAAATCTCCAAATCAATATGATTGGACGAATACTTAATCAAATGTGCTCCATTATTCTTGGCCCATAAAAAACACAATCCCCCTCTCTGCCCATCACTATCCACCGCAAAGCAACCTTCAAAACCCAATCTTACTCGTAGCCTCTCTGCATGACTCCTGTCTACCATAGTTTCCATAAAGAACACGAACTCGGGCTTCTTTTTGGACACTAAGTCCACCACCTCCTGAACTGTCCGTGGATTGCCCAAGCCACGGCAGTTCCAAAAAAGGGTACTCATTGAGAGAGGTGGGCCTGGTCCCCAGGTCCCACCGTACTAACATGATCCGTATCCATCTGCGTAGCCCTTACCTCGCACACCACCTCACCACCCGGCCCCCGCCTCTGTTTCGGATCCACCCTCACACCCCTCTCCTCCCCTTCTACCGCATCAGCCACCCTATCAACCCTCTCAACTCCCATACCCGAAACCTCATTCCTCAACAGTCCCCGCCCCATACTGCCATCCACCTCCACCTCCCCGTCTTTCCGTACCCCCCTCAACCCCATACTGTCGACCACTCCCACAGCCCCTACACCCTCAACTCGCACCCCCCGCTGTCCCAAACCACCACCCCTCTCCGCAGCAACCTCCCCAGCCCGTGCACCCCTCTGCGACCCCCTTCCCTCCGCCACACCACCATAGCCTATTTCCTTCCTCCTTTCCTGCCCAAGCCGAAACCATTTGTCCCCCAGCACCTTGGCTGCCCCCATTCCCCCCGCCTTCAAACCCGGACCATAAACATATTGCTCTGGCGTCAACGAGGACCTACGAGCCTCCAAGCAGAACTTGTCCACATGCCCCAACTTACCACAACAATAACAGAAAACATTTAACCTTTCGTACCTGAAATCAACCCACGCCCATGTGCCATCACGCAGCACCATTTTCATGCGTCGCTTAATAGGGTTCGCAACATCAAGACGTACCCGAACCCTGTAGAATTCTGACCACGGTCTAGCGAAGTTCCGGTCATCAATACGCAGGAATACGCCCACATAATCCCCGACCTTCTCCAACGTCTTCTCTGTACAGTAACCCGCCGGGACCCCAAAAATCCACAGTGCACAACTCCATCGTAGCCGGATCCTCATCCCCCTCTAATGGCTGACAAAGGAACAACGCATTCTCGAATGCCCAGGGCCCCTCTTCCAATACCCGACGCCGATCTGCCTCGTCAAAGAATGTAAACAAATACAGCCCCGGACGCACATCAATGATCTCAATGCCCATCAAGGGGCGCAATGCTGAAGCCATCACCCTCTTCATAATCTCCACCTTGAGATTCCGGTCAATCAAGAATTGACCTACAAGATCCCATGTAAGACGTTGTCCACCATGCACCTCCCCGCCATCAACCTCCTCGTCGAACTGCACCCCCACCTCCTCATCTTGCAACGCGATATGGGCTGTGCCCTCAATTATCTCCTGGACGTCCATCAGTAGCAGACAGCCAGACGAAGCGCACGCAGCTTCCAGTCGCGGAAGTCACTCGCCGGAAAACGTAGCCGGAACCCTAGAAATCATGGATGAATATCGAAACCCTAATACGTAGGGATAGAGAGAAAAGTTTGTATAGTAAATAATTTATTTTAATTTTACAATCTTCTTCGAAGACTTTATATATATACATACATTGTGCCTAAAAAATAGAGTTAGTTCCACTTACCTATTTGCAAAATCTTCTTTTACTCTGTTTGCAACTCTCCAAAGCACCTGATGTCCAAGCTGGTATCCATCAAAATTTTCTAGCACATTTAAAAAGAAATTAGATAACAGCAACTAGATTCAATATTTGTAAAGTAATTTACATTACTGTGTTAACTAAAAAAATAAAAATCTCCTTTATTTAGAAAAATAATTTGATCCTACACAAATCTGACTTCTATACTGATATACAATAAAACAATTCACCAAAGTCCAGATATCAAAGACACTAGAAATAAAAATAGATTAACTTGGTTGATACTCGAGGACCATTTGTTGAACAAAGACATTTTATTCAATGTGTCTATTATTAATAAAACAAAGTTGTTGCTTCCAATAAAACACATTTAAAGAATATTATGATATATAGAAGAAACTTATACCAGTTTTAACCAAAGAGAAAAAAAAAAATTAATTTAAATTACTGTGTTAACAAAAAAAATGAGAATCTCCTTTAATTAGAAAAATAATTTGATCATACACAAATCGGACTTCTATACTGATATAGAATAAAACAATGCACCAAAGTCCAGATATCAAAGACACTAGAAATAAAAATATATGAACTGGGTCAATACTCGAGGACCATGGGTTGAACAAAGACATTTTATTCGATGTGTCTATTATTAATAAAACAAAGTTGTTGCTTCCAATAAAACACATTTAAAGAATATTATGATATATACAAGAACATTATACCAGTTTTAACCAAAGAGAAAAAAAAAAGTAATTAACATTACTGTGTTAACATTACTGACTTCTATACTTATATAGAACCAAACAATGCACCAAAGTCAAACAAAGTAATGGAAAACTTTTTGCATTAGTGTTATACTGATCTAGATATCAAAGAAGTAGAGGACCATTTGTTGAAAAAAGACTTTTTTTATTTAATGTGTCTATTGCCTTACAAAGTAAAGTGAACAAACTTACAAACTATGCAAGTATATTCATACAAACTAATCTAAAGACAGGCAAATAAAGATAAAGTCTTAACCTATTTGCTTATATGACCATATTGCTTTTAGTGGTCTTTGATTGCTTGGTTATTTTCTGCTTGCTGCTCTTCAATTACTCCAGAGCTGGGATTATTTCATTCTAAAAACAATACCAAAAAAAAAATTGTTAGAATTTGTGTTCAAAATATTTAATAACAAGACCAAGAGGAAAAGGATACACTGGCATAACAGAGAATTGAAGATTAGTAGAATCAAATAATCAAAGTATGTGTTCAATGTTCTTACAACTTATCTAAACAAATTGACAACAATGAAAGTAAAAACAGATGAACTTGGTCTATACTTGAGGACCATTTGTTGAAAAAAGTCTTTTTAAATCAAATTGTCTATTGCCTTACAAAGTAAAGTGAACAAACTTACAAACTATGCAAGTATAACAATACAAAGTCATCTAAAGTACGTCAAATCAAGATAGAGTCTTAACTTATTTGCTGATATGACCATAGTGCTTATTTTCTGCTTGTTGCTCTTCAATTACTCTAGAGCTTGAATAATTTCATTCTAAAAAGAATAAAAAAACAAATAAAAAGGTTAGAATTTGTGTTCTGAATAAATAATAACAACACCAGTATAGAAGAAATTTGCTAGCACATTTAGAAAGAAATTAGATAACAGCACCTAAATTCAAGATCTGTAAAGTAATTAACATTACTGTGTTAACTAAAAAACTGAGAAGACAATGGAATTATTGGCCTGTTAAGTAAAAGTTAATCATTCTTAGGGAAAGAAACAAATTTCCTAAACATTAAATATAATTGATGGACAGCTATCATTACTATTAAGAGAAAACT